TGAAGATGTTATAAAAGCTTGCTCCACATCCATATAGAACCACATTTTACCCAAATTTAGCCAATCATCTAACCATGGAACTAACACTCTTCTTCAGCTCTATGAAATTTATCTTCACAATGAATGTCCCAAACGAACGCTTTACCTTTACAAGTCAGATGAGTCAACAAAGGTACCAACTTAGAAAAGTCTTCAATAAACCTCAAATAGTAACCAGCCAAGCCCAAAAAGCTTCTAATATCCGTAAAAGACTTAAGAGCCTCCCACTGTAGAATTATATCTACTTTTGATATATCCACAACAATACCATTACCTCAAATAACATGTCCAAGAAAACTAACTTCTTGCAACCAGAACTCACACTTTGATAACTTTGCATACAACTTCTTTTCTTTAAACATTTACAACATAATTCTCAAATGTTCAAAATGTTCTTCCTTTGAATTAGAATAGATAAAAATGTCATCAATGAAAACTACCACAAATTGATCAAGATAAGAATGAAATGTGTGATTAATATATTCCATAAACACTCCAGGTGCATTAGAAACTCCAAACGGAATAACAATATATTCATGATGCCCATATCGAGTTCTAAAAGCAGTCTTCTAAATATCTTCATCTTTTTCACTCTAATCTGATGGTAACTTGACCTCAAGTTAATCTTGCTGAAGACATGTGAACCTACCAACTAGTCCATCAAATCATCAATTCTCAGAAATCCACACACAACCTCATATTACCATATTTCTTATTTACCAACAACACCGGAGCTTCCCCAGGCGACACACGGTCTCACAAATTTCTTTTCCAAAAAATCTTCTAATTGCTTCTTTAACTATGCTAACTCAGTCGCCTAAATTTTATATGGTGCCATAGAAAGAGGTCTAGTACCAGGTACAAGATCGATCAAAAACTCCACCTCTCTTTCGGGTGGCACATCTGAAATATCATCTGGAAACACCTCTGGAAATTCATGCACCACTAGAAGTTCATCAAGCACCGACTGAATTTTAACAGACAAGGATGAAAATAAAGCAAACATCTGAGCTTCGTCCTGCAACAAATCTTCCATTTGCATAGCAGTCAAGAAACCAACTTCTTTTGCCTCAACAAGATCAAGAAACCGTACAAATATGTTATAACAATTGATATGAACGTGATTAAACTCTAACGGGTTTATTCCCAAGATAACATCGAGATCTTTCAACGATAAACAGATAAGATCAACACCAAAATATCTATCCTAAATAGATAGATGACAGTTCAAACAAACCAAAGAAGTAGTTACCAATCCCTTAGCAAGAACGCCGATAACCATCTCACCATTCATAGAGGACACTTCAAGTCCTAATATTTTCACATAATCGGCATCAATAAAAGAATGTGTAACACTAGTATCAATAATAGTAATTAGAGGAGTACTATTAATGAAGTATGTACCTTTAATCAACTTGTTATCACTGATAGTATGATTTCTCGATAGAGCAAAAACTTTCTCTCCGGATTGAGCTTGCTTCGGCTTCTAACAACGTGTAATGATGTGTCTTGGTTCACAAAAGTTGTAGCAAGTCACTATATTATCCTTGCAATTAGTAACCAATTGTCACGTCTTTCCATATAGGAAACACTTCTTCACATCACCATTACATTCACTGGCGCGATGGCCTAGCTCACTACACCTAAAGAATTTAAGAGTAGCAGAAACATATCCCACACTTGGCCTCTTACCATCAACAACTTTTTGTTTACCTTTTTCATCTGGAGCATTGTGAGGATTTACGCAGTTCTGGTGTTGTTTTCATCTCTTCTTGCTCAGAATCTTATAGTGATCCGACTCCGCCTTACTATCTTCCTCGAAGATTCTACATCTATTCACTAACTCCGTAAACCTTCAAATATGTCGGTATCCAATCGCCTGCTTAATCTCAGGACGTAAACCATTCTCAAACTTGATACATCTTGAGAACTCAGCAGTTGCCTCGTTGTAATGAAGATATAACTTAGCAAGTTCCACAAATCTGGAAGCATAATCAGTAATAGAAAAATTACCATACTTCATCTCCATAAACTCAATCTCATTCTTTCCACTAACATCTTCAGGAAAATACTTCCTTAGAAACTCTCTAATGAACACAACCCAAGTGACAACTTCACCTTCAGCTGCCAACACCCGACGAGTATTGATCCACCAGTCACCAGCTTCCTCAGCCAGCATATGAGTACTAAATTGTACCTTCTGCTCCTCTGAACAATCCATCCCTAGAAAGATTCTCTCAATTTCCTTTAGCCAAGTCTGCGCTCCATCAGGATCATACCTTCCCTTGAAAGTAGGCGTATTGTTCCTCTGAAACCTTCTTAAGATACCAATTTTTAAAGTTTCTAGAAAATTCTTTCATAACATGTGGTAATCGATTACACCCTTTTCTGTAATCGATTACACCCTTATTTTTCAGCCTGAATGTTCAATTTTTCAAGGCCGTAATCGATCACACCAGATGTGGTAATCGGTTACACCTTCTTCCAGAAACCAAGTTTTTTACAAAATTACACTGTGTAATCGATTACACCATATATTGTAATCGATTACACCTTCGAGAATTCCAAAAATTTGAAAATTTATCGCAGCTGTAATCGATTACCGTTGCGACAAAAGTAGTTTTCTGCTATATCAATGTATGAAAATCAGTCTCATTCCAACCCCAAAATCCCAACTTTTAGAAACTAGTCAGCAATAAGATTTTACAGGTTCAATCCTATCAATATACAAAATCACAACATTCGCAAACAAACACATCATTCAACACAACAATATCATATCACCATTCTTCAAAATTGATTCAAACATAAAAAGAGATAATCACAATTATGCACAGATACAATCCAACCATAGCAATCATGATTCCAAACCTACAAACTATTATACAATCCTTTAGAAAATTGGAATCCCCCCTTACCTTGGTATTCCTAGCAAAGCTCTTGAACTCTACAATGAAGTTTGCCTCTTCTTCCATGAGCCCTATCTCTTTGCCTCTTTTCTTCTCACGTTTTGTCAGTTCTAACCTTACTGACTCTAATTCTCATAATATATTATTATTAATATTCTAGCTAAATAAACCACTAAAATAAAATCTAAATAATTATTTAACTCTATTATTACTATTATTATTATTTAATCTATTTAAATCTAATTTTAAATAATGCTAGTAACAACATTCTCCCACCACCCATATGTTTCTACCTTTTTACTCAGACACCCCCAACACCTCTATTTCAAATTCTGAAAGTTATCACCCTTCCCCGAAAGGTCCCTAAAACACCAAAACATTGAATAACACACAACATCACACAAATCAATTATGAATAATTAATTAAAATAAATCGGAGTGTTATATAAGGGTCCAGAGAGCCTAGCCACCATAGTGATACAAAACCGTAATATCACTAAAACAAATGTAATTTGCCACGTGAAAATCACGTCACATCCCAAAATAGCATGTCGCTACACTCAAATTAGCGACATAAGCAAACACATCACAGATACACAAGTCACAACTTTTTGCGATGTGAAAAACACGACACAACTTTGCCGCGTGAGAATCACGTCACTAATATGTATATAAGGATAGTTGCAGAAACCACCATCACCACATTCCTTCACATTTCTTAAAACCGCCACCACAAAAAACAAATGCTTGAAAATTATCCACTCAGCATAATAACATGCGTAAACGAAAAATAAGTGTAATTGCAGAAAAATGAAAGAATAGTTTGAATTAGGGTTGGGTATCACTAGACACCTTGTGAGTTTAGGCCGAGTGATACGACGACAACCGAGATCTATTTTAGGTCTGTGTTCGAATTCATATTGATTTTTCATTAACCGTTTAGTTCGTGTAGAAGGAGAACGAGAGTGGTAAGAAGAAGGTGGATGATCTTGTGAACTGTAAGTTGGCTGAGGTGCACGACTCGAAGGTTGTTGTTTCTTCTCTCGCAATGACGTAGGAGAGATGTTGTGGTTGCTTCTGTGGCGGCAAGATGATGGAGATGAAGAAGAGAGGGAAAGGTTTTGTTTCCTTTTTCTTTTAAAAAATGCATGAGAGAGAAAGAGGAAGAAGATGTTGGATGGTGATGAAAAGAGAAGAAGGGTGAGGAAGAAGATGTCTGAGAAATTCGTGAGCGAGAGCAAGTAGCTGATCCCTTTCTTTTGTTTTCTTTTTTCAAAATAGCTTAATAACGTAAAAATTATGTGACAACGTCCTTTTTTAACGATGTGATTTTCACGTGGTAAAACCTAATTTTAATTTTTTTTAATTTTATATGTTTAGCGAAGTGAAAATCCCTTGACAATATCCTTTTTTAACGATATAATTTTCAGATAGTAAAATCTGATTTTTTTTTTATTTTTAATTTTAAATGTTTAACGGCAGCGTCTTTTTTTAAGGACAGAGTTTTCACGTGGCTGGAGTCTATTATATATATATTATATAACTTGTAACTATGAAATCATAACAAAAGTTGTGTCAATTGATTTGCATTTTTATTTTATTTTTTTGTTACTATAGTAATTATTCTAACAATTATCTTATATATATGGTAGGTACATTATTTAATTATTGTTAATTTAATTTGTTTCATTCATACATTTATAGAAGTTTTTAGTCTATGTAACATCGACCTACAAATATGAAATAGCTATCTAGTAAAAAGAAAAAGATGCCATGCTCACTTCTTAAGTCGATCCTTGACACTATCATATCATTTTTTTTAAATGAACTATTCATTATTATTATTTATGAAGATAATAATCTAATCAAGCTCACCAAAAGTTAGTTTTTGGAAAGAACTATTTATTATTCATAACAATAATCATCTATTCAAGCAGACCAAAAGTCACTGTAACACTGTCTGTCTCTTCTCTGTTAACAAGATATTGTCATTTTGTTACAACAGAATATAGGGTCCAAAATTTTTTTCTTGTCAAACTAAAGTGAGAGAATATGGAATTGGAGAGTAAAAACCAACTCCAAGTTTCAAATGCAGACCAACAAAGTGAAGGAACCAATTTTTTCAAAACTTGTTTCAATGTAATCAATACATTGACAGGTATTGGAATACTCTCAATGCCATATGCAGTTTATCAAGGAGGATGGTTTAGTTTTCTGCTGCTGATTATTTTCGCAATGATATGTTGCTACACAGCTTTACTTTTGGATAGATGTATGAATGCAAATGCGCGAATCAAATCATATGCTGATTTAGGTGAGGTTGCTTTCGGCTACAAAGGAAGATCTATATTAGCTATTTTCATATACATAGAGTTGTTTTTAGTTGCTGTGGAGCTTCTTATATTAGAAGGAGACAATTTGGAGAAGCTTTATCCAAATATGAGATTCACAATTTTTGGTCTTAGAATTGGTGGTAAAACTGGTTTTGTTATTCTCACTGCTTTTGCAATACTTCCAACAACATGGTTGAGAAACTATGGAGCTTTAGCCTATGTTTCTGTTGGTGGGGTGTTTACTTGTGTTGTTTTGATTGGATGTGTTGTCTGGGTGGGTGAAGTTGATGGTGTTGGGTTTCATGAAAGAGGTGTGTTACTAAATTTGGGAGGGTTGTCTACTTCTATGAGCCTTTTTGCTTTCTGTTACAATGCTCATGCATTAATGCCAACAATACGTAATTCCATGTCTGACAGAAACCAATTTTCTAAGGTAAATTTTGTCTCCTAATACTATTGTCCAAGGTACATTTTTTTTTTCTTTTTCTAAATGTGACATTTTGCTAATTGTAGGTTTTGGTTGTTTGCTTTGGTGCAAGTGCTATGATCTATGGAACTATTGCTGTTCTAGGTTACATGATGTTTGGAGATAGTTTAAAGTCACAGATCACATTAAATTTACCAACAAACACTATAAGTACTAAAATAGCAATTTATTCCACCATGATTAATCCTTTCACTAAGTATGCTATTATAATCAGTCCAATAACAATTGCTATTGAGGAGAAATGGCATATATGCATGAGCAGACCTATTAGCATTGTAGTTAGAACAACTATTGTTGCTAGCAGTGTTCTTGTGGCACTATACATTCCCTTTTTTGCATACATTATGGCATTTACTGGTGCATTCTTGAGTGTTGCAATCTCATTGTTGTTCCCTTGTGTGTGCTATTTAAAGATAAATAAAGCTGCTACGAGATTTGGACTAGAGATGATGATCATCATGGGAATTCTTATCATTGGTACATTGATTGGAATACTTGGCACATATATCTCAGTTGAGAAAATAGTTAATCAGATGAAGCATTGAAGTTATATACTTAATGCTAACTGTCGTAACTAATATTGATTCTTGTAATCTTGAGTTATAATATTTACATGGTCAAAAGAATGCAAAAAGATTCTCATTGAGAACAAGGCGTCTATTTCTGTAACTTCATGTAATATTGACCTTATAAGCAAAGGGTCCAATTTTCCCTAACACATAAGAATAGAATGAAATTTTCATTTTTCTCTATTCTTCTCAATCCTAGGAGTTATTTATGAAAGTGCACTTACGTTGTCGTATGGTATCATTTATTTGTTTTGATGTTTTTATCAATTTGAGTGTATATTATAGTTTTTTTGTTTATTTGTAATTTGCTTATTATTTAATATTCGTGTGTTTGTATTCCACTTGTAATTGAGTTGTTTTGTATCTGATACGGCTATTTTAGCGTTGTAGCATTAAGACCCTTCATTATTCAATAAAGTTAGAGTATTTGATCATGATAATGTTCCTTTTTTAGCCTAACAAATTGTTTTGTTGTCTTTTTATCAAGTGTGGCTTGAATCACAAGTTAGAACTCTTAGATCAAGATGTTGAGTGACTTGATTCGAATAAAGGGTTAAGTATGATTCGAATCAGGAACCTTGTGAAAATTGAGAGTTTTCTATGAATTAATTGATTCGGGATTAGAAATGAACCTTATTCGAATCACAACCTCACGTGAAGCTAAATTTGGGCTTTGCTCAAATTGACTCGAACCAGGAGTTTAACTTGACTTGAATCACAAATCTTGTGATTTGAATCACGACTGATTCTTGACTCGAATCATATAGCTTCGCAAATCCAACTTTCCATCTTAGATTTAAATAGTTGTTTCTTTGATCCAACAAAAAAATAGAGTAAAACTATGTGGGTGAAATACATAGAGAGAAAATATCAATTTGTCTTATCTTCTTTAGTGTGTCTATTCCTAGCACCTTTAATTTTTCTCTTCTTCTCAAATACAACAACTTTAGTGTTAATTCATGTCAGATTCACTTCTTTTTGTTGGACTTTGTTCTTGTGCAATTCGTTGTTGGTTGAATGAATTAGAGAGAGTGAGATGATTAATCTTGTAGTGTTTTCATGATTGATCAAGTCGGTGATATCAATCAAGAACCAAAACTCATTCTTTCATAAATTAGAGAGAACCTTGTTTGTGTGCTTTCACCTACATCTAATCCCTTGACTAACTGCTTGGGAATTAGAGTGTTTGTGAGATTCCTTGGCACTGTTCATCATCTTCGTCCTTAGTCATTTTTCATTGTTGTGGACCTTCATCTCTAAAAATTGAGTGTTGAAGGAGACTAGTGGTACATTAGTGTATCTAATGTTTTTGTTTAAAGTTTGTTGTTTGTAACAGGTGTTAGTATCATTTCTTGAATACAGTTTGGTCTTTATTGGTATCTATCAAAAAGAGAGTTTCAGTATATTCCATGAAAGACTTTGGTGAAGCCTAGTATTGATTGTTCGTAAGGCGGAGTTGGAAGATGTCCAACTTTGGTGAGATTGTGGAAAGACTGACGACAAATAAAGTTTGGAGTTGTCCAATCAACGTTTAGCTAATGGAAAATACTCATATGAGAAATCGGTGGGATCAAGTGAATTTCCCCACACAAATACTTGGAGCGGATTATTATGAATTGCAAGGTTATTGGATCAAGATCTTTGGGGATCTTATTTTTGTTAGCAGTTTGAGTGTCTGCATCAACAGAGGGATTTGTCATGGGATAGTTTATTGTAATCAAAATACTTATGTGAAATTTATCAAAATAGTGGAAGATCTTGATTATTTTCTAATGGTTCTTCAACATCATTGAAGAGTCATTACGCAAGACAAGGACGAACGGCGAACCACTATATATCTTTGTGTATCTTTTCCTTCTACCCTTACCTCTTTTAGTTTTCTAGCATTCATTAATATTAATATTCTGTTAGTGCATTATTGCATCGTTTGTATGTCATTTAGGTTAGATTGTGCTTATAGAGATTTAATGTATAAGCTTAGGCCTGTGATACATCGATCTTATTGGATTATCATAAAGGAAATTATGCTTTGAATGAACATCTACGTAAACAGTTTTTAAAGCACTTTGTTTAAAGTGGTTTCGGCTGTCTTGTAATTGACTTGCATTAGAAGAAATCAAGTCCTTAGTGATATCACATAACATTTCACTTGGTTTAATTCATTGAGATGCTTCCAAGCTCTCTTAGTATTGTCTTTTGTTTCTGCACTTCTTAAAATTTCTGATTTCGTTTATGTGCCCTAAAATATTTTTGAAACTGTCTTCTCCCTTTTAGACCTCTTTATGTATATATTCTCACCCAACAATTTATAGTACATTTTTCTTGTTTCTTGGATCATTTATAATTATCTTATAGTGTATGGTTTTCCTCAAAATAAATGTATTTGTCAATATATTGAATGTCATGAGTAGGATTAGCCTTAATTTCCATGGTTAATGGTATGTTCTCTTTCAATTCTCTTAGACCAAATAAGTTGAGCTAGCTCATTCCCCCACTTGTGTGCAAGTAATATCAGGATAACAAGAGTGTTGCATAAATTCATGTGATTTTGGGTAAAACCCATAAAATTTAGCTACTTAATCAATTTTTGTAAACAATAATAATTACATCACTAGTTTTTATTAAATTGATATATTGGTAAAATGCCCATGTGGGGCGACGAGGGAGGCAGGCGATGCATCGTCCATAACAACCCTCTTGATCGTTGTTATTTTTTTATCAATCGCCTATTTATTAGACGTGACACGCCTTTATTAAATATGTTACTCACTTTTGGGATGACTCACCGACACAGTAAAATGGGGAACTATGTGTCTCTAATTCATAATAGATCGGAGGAAATCGTGGGAAAGTAACCAAACCCTCATAAATAACTGAGGACTAACTCCTCACTTGCACATTCTTTTAGAAGTGGTTTCCATTCCCAAGGGGCCTAGTATAATAAGGTGGGCGAACTGACTTGTTTTGCGTTTTATCGCAAATATTGCGCATAGAAAGAGTCGTCATCGACTTTTCTTTTATCCACTAAGGAAAGAGTGAAAAGAACAAGAAAGAACTTGATAGATTTTGAGTTCGGAGGGTAAGTTATAAAAAGGGAAGGTGTTATCACCCTTTTCATCCGTAGTTATCTACGGGCTCTTAATCGTTTAGCTCACTTTTGAAAACTTGTTTTGTATGTGTGTGTTTTGAAAATATTTTTGAAATTTCCAAAGTACGGCTAACTTTGTAATAATTCTTGTATCGGTCCTCAAGAATGTATATAAAGTGTTTGAAAATATCTTGTTTGAAAAGTGTGATGTGAGAAATGTTTTTTAGAAATGTTTGTGAGCAAGCAATTAAAAGTATCATACCCACTCAAGGTCGTTCTTATTCTTTTCATTCTTCTTTAGAGATAGTGTTATTCGTACCATTAGTTAGTAGGTAGCCCTATCTATTGGATGTGAAGGGACAAGCGAAGGGCCATCGAGGGACTATGATCTTTTGTATGATGATGACATGATCGAGGGTCATTTGTTAAAGTACCCCTATTCTCGAAGGACGTGACCATTATTAGTAAGGCAACAAGAGAGGTTACCCTAAAGGTGTGAGTGAGAAAGTGTGTTTGTTTCAGTTATTTATCTTGAAATTAGGGTTTTGCTATCGGTTGATTTTATCTTGCCATACAAACCCTAGTTACTAGCAATTGCATAAAAATATAATACGGAATATAAAATGCGGAATGTACACCTAAAATTATTACAAGGCTTTGGAGCAGTTACATAAGAATAAAGAGTGTGGGAAAGTAAACCCTAAACTATTACATACTTGGAGCAATTACATAATAGGAAAAATGCGAGAAAAATAAATCTAAACTATTTACATTTGAGGAAGCGTCCTATACACTTGATATAGGAAATATAAGTACAAATGAAAAAAGAAATAAGGAAAAACAAAGTAGAAAAAGAAGTTTGAAGGTTTGTTAGGGTTTTTGTGAAAACAATATTTATGATGATAACTAATCAAAAAAACCTACAAATTATAATTAATTTTAGTATTAAAAAAAAATCTAATTATTTAATTAATTAAAAAACAAAAAGATGAAAGGTTAATTAAAAAAGCCCAACTTAATTAATTAAGGTTTTAAAAAAGGTTTGTTTTAGGTTAATATAAATAAATTAGGTTAGCCAAAAAAATATGATTAGGGGAAGAAAAATCAAGGAAAAAATAAGGTTAGAAACCAAAATAAGAAAAAAATGCCAGGGGTGGGTGTTGAACCCACGCACACAAGCCTCTGCCTTGCACCGTTTTCCACTGAGTCGTGCATTGGTTGGTGTCTGTAGACTACGTGCTACACAAAGTATATTAAACCTGTGAAAATTGGAAAATATAAAACATAGTTGCAAAAGGCAGGGATCGAACCCATGCCCTTATAGATCAATACCTTAATGCGCGTGCTCCTGCCACTAGGGTGGTTGTTACATTTTGTAGTGTTAGGAAAATAAATAAATATAAAATAAAACAAATGACTGGGCTAAAGAGGCGTCGGAGCCCTAGCTCTGGTCGTCCTCTCTGGTGAGCTTCTTTCTTGTACCTGCAAAATAAGAGCATGTTAGTGAGCCAGGAGGACCCTACCCCCTAATTGGGCCCTTGCGAGTTTAACGGTGGCCTCGATTTTTGCTAATTCTCCATGTATAATGAAATACAAAGAAAATATGGTAAATCGGTTCAAGAATGACAACGCATGATTCTGGCATCATGGGGGTCATGGGATGGTTTAAACCTATACTAATACATCCCAGGAACACATTAGCAATGTTAGTTTCGATCAAAATATCCCAAAAAATAAAATACAAATTTCATGTAAACTTAGAAACTGGTGATGCATGGATACGAGTTTCAGGCTTCTTTGATCATCAAGAGTGATCAATACTTACTCTATAATATCCCTGTAGTTGATTGGAACAGATAGCTTGTTTTGAGAAAGGCTAAAAAGAGGG